CTAGAGTTGAACGGACGTCTGCGTTGTAAACTCTGCGCTTGGAGCTAGAGTAATGTCGCGTCTGCGCCACAGGTGGCGGAGATTGACAAAAGCACCTCGAGCTTTTGCTATACGGTTCGTAACATCATCTTCAATCCCACGGGTGCTAATATAGCTGCCCAGGTACTTGAATTCCTGAACGACTTCTAGCAGATCACCACCAAGCGTCAGCGCAGGGTTGGGTCCCTGCCAATTTTGGAGAAGTACTTTGCATTTCGATGGAGCGAAGCATAGCCCAAACGATTGACAGCCAGTGCTAATCGGTCCAGTGCTGTTTGGCATGTTTGGGGGCTGTCACAGATTAGGGCAATATCGTCCGCCTACTCCAAGTCAAGAAGTCGCTCACCAGGAAGTAGCTCCACACCTAGGTCATGTCCAGCGAACGCTGTTTCCATGCCTTCATCAATAGCGAAGTTGAAGAGGAAAGGTGACAGCGGGCATCCTTGTCTCACACCGCTGGTGATACTGAAGGGTGGCGACAGTTTGCCATAAACCCTCACCCTGCCCGAACTATGCGCGTACAGCGCTTTGATAATGTTTACATATTTATCAGGCACACCTTTCCTCAGCAGACAGTCCAAAGGGCACATCGATCGACTGAGTCGAAGGCACCTTTTATGTCAAGAAACACGACAACGGTGGGCCGCCAATAAACATGACGATGCTCCAACACTTGACGCAATGTGAAGATGTGGTCGATGCAGCCCCGACCTCGACGAAATCCGGCTTGCTCTTCACGAATCTGGCTTTCACGAGTGCCAGTCAGTCTGTGGAGAATCACAGAGGCAAGCAATTTAGAGGCAATCAAAATCAGACTGATCCATCTATGATTGCCGCATTCCAAACGGGAGCCTCCCTTAAAAATCGGGACATTGACAAAGCGGTTCCAGTCTGTCGGGACTGTCTCCTGCTCCCAAAGTTTTACTAGCAACTCGTGTAGATCATCTACTAGAGCAGGTCCCCCGAATTTGAAGAGGGCTGGGGGAATTCTATCCGCCCTTGCGGCCTTATGCAATTTCAACAGCCTGATCTCGCGTTCGACTTCTGCGCGTGAGGACGGATCCCAAGAGACGGCCCAAGGAGACGGGCACTCAATGCCCGAAGAAGTAAGCAATAACTCAGGTTGGTTAAATTGCCTTGCAAAGTGTTCAGCCCAACACTCCAAATGTTTTGACAAGCTGTGGATCGGCTGCCCACTCTCGTCGCGTATGGTCTCGCTAACACCAGGTCTCCTGCTGCCTGTTTCCCGTATCAGTCAGAAGAAGTTACGATGTTTGCATCTCAGAAGCACGATGAGACCACCAGATTTCGCGGTCCTTCTTCAGGCTAGCACGTAGTTTCGCCCTGAGATTTTTGCGAGCCTCATTGTATTCGCTTCCAGCCGGAATACATCGGCGAGCATCCATAAGTTCCAGAGGCTGTGTAGAGACCCAATGTCCAGTTTGGCAATTTGCTTTGCCACATGAAGACATGCCTGCTGAAAGTAACGTTTGACGAATATGCGACCAGTGATCTTCAACGGTGTTTAGTGGGCGCTTACTCAGCCCAGATGTCAGCGCACTTTGGTACACATTCAGAACATCTGGCTTCGCCAGCTGGCTGGTGTTAATCCGTTCACACCGAGGTTGCGGACGTTCACCGAAGCGTACCAGGAGGTCGGCACAGACAAGTGCGTGGTCAGAGTCCACGCTCGTGCTCCAAATCGAGCGACTATTTTGAACACAGCCTCTCCAGCGGTAACTGATCGCGATATGATCGATTTGCGTCCATAGTTGGTCCGAGGCTGGTGGCCGCCAATTCACGCTTCTGCGAGTGCTGTGTCGAAAGTTAGTGCTCGCGAGAATGAGACGAGCATCTTCACACAGCTGTAGTAATCGCTCACCATTATCATTACGGCGGCCCACACAATGTTGGCCACCAGAATGAAGCTCATCAGAGGACAATTTTCCGACTTGGACGTTTAGATCGCCAGCCAACACCACAGTATCCGTGCTTCTTCGGTAACGAAGGAGCTTGTGAAGTTGCTGATAGAAATCATCTTTTACCGGATCAGTGCTACAGTTTGTAGGGGCGTAAGCCTCAATGACAAACAGGCAACGTTTGTCCCCGCGCGACTTCGTAGCACGAAACGAACCAGCTTATTTAACGGCGCACATTCTACTGTTTACTGGGATCCAGTCAATCAGGGCAGCTTCAGCCCGGGGACTCAAAATAATGCCGACGCCAGCTTGACCGGCATTTGAAGTTGCATCATCGCCAGACAGGCGCAATGAGAATGTGCCGCCAGTGTCGCATGTGGGGGATCTCATGGTAAGCCCGGAGTTCCCATCTTGCAGGCGGGTTTCTGATAAACAGCAAATATCGATCGATAGGGTCTCTAGTGTGCGGGCAAGTGCTGCCTGTTGGCCAATCTGCAGCAAAGTGCACACGTTGAGGCATGCCAGTCTTAGCGGGACGAGAGGACTCCAAAGGGAAACGGATGAACTGACGTTGTTCGCTTGGTTGCACATGCACTTGTCGATTGGATTGGAGCGAGACCCCGCGATTGTGTGTGATTTGAAATTAAAAGACAAGCGACTATTGAAGTAAGCTGGGGGAGGGCCAAGCATTGGGGGATTGAAAATGGGGAGGATATAAGTAAAGTTGGAGCGAGACGATAAGGATGAAGAAGCGCAAGAAGGGGTATGAGAAGACAGGAAGGCCTGAGCAGTAGCGTCCATACCCCTATCCACCCTGCTCGATGCAGCAGATAGGGCGCCGTTTATTATCCTCTGCGACGGCCAGAGCATCAAGAAATTGTTGTAGGAAAGGTTCATTGTATTGCGTGGGCAGAATACTGTCAGGTTGCCCAGGCCTAGACAGGAGAACGCCTAGGGTTCTCAACCAAAGCCTTTGGTTCAAAAACCTTATCGCAAGGCAGCGGGTTTTGGCACTGGACTACGGAGCCCGTTTTATGAAATGAGGAGCCACCCCCATTCCAACCCCCAACCTGGAGGAACAGGAGGCTGTGTTTGTTTGGCCTCTAACCATTGACCAATCTGGTATGAGTGGCTCTGAAGGTGCAAAAATGCACCACCCAGCATAGTTCAATGGATCACTGAGGCACGCAAACCATCGCACCACGGTAAGGTCCAGCCTCATTGCGATGGCCGTTTCTAGTTTTCATTAAACTATTTACTACAAGTCGTTATCACAAATGTTACGCTTTAAGGCAGCCTTAAAATTTGGCAGGAAATCAAGGGTTTCGCCAACCACTAGATTCTCCAGCGCGACCTCCATGTGACTTGGAATTGGTCAGTGAAGAAAGCTTTGCCATTCTACGTGGACAAGTGTCAAGTTGTTCACATCCATCATCTACACTTATGCATCAGCAGGATGGGACGCACGTTCTGAAAATCGCATCTCAGAAATCTGATCTAAATCTGCCCATACTGGATGTCATCGGTTGTGCAAGGTAATCTGTCTTTGATTCAAGAAGTGGTAACCTGCAGGTTGGTCTCTAGAAAAGTGTACTTGAGACTTTGGATTCATTCATCTTTTATATCATGCGTAATGCCTACGTGCACCTCCACGTTGAGTACGCTGTCCAGTTTTGGCAAACTTGAGCTCTCAGCGCACGAGAACCCACAACGTCGGGTAACAAAAGTTGTCCGGGTATTGCGGCACCTTCGGTACTAAGAACGACAGAAGCAACTCGGAGTATGTAGTGGACGCTACCGGCACCTAATTGGAGACCTCATACTAGCCTACAAAATATCGATAAATCCCATTCCCATACGTCGCCGTTTTCTGAAACTCAACCGAACACTAAGCTGAGAAGCAATAGCACGAAACTGAGTTAACAACACAGTCATGTAGTTTATCGACGAACTTACCCGCTCCAGGTCTGCCTATCCTAAAGCACATTCTAAATGCAATTGTCTGTGCTCCAATCTTAAGCAGTTTCAAAAAGCACTTGGACATTGTGCTCAGTCCACTACACTTTGTTATATCGACAGATATGCTCAAATTTACTGGAATCATCATCATTATTATGACCATTATTATTATTTGAATTATAATCCGTACTACGTGGAGAATTCGGTGAAGAGTTAAGCAACGCGTATATTTTTACGATGAGCATTAACTATATTAACAGATTACTTCGTTTTGCTCGGTGTTCTTCCCACAATTCCGCTTCCAATTTACCGTTGCACTGTAGCTTCACCGATGCGCACTTTATTCCGCCCACTTGTGTAGTCTTTGAAGTTGCAACTCCTTCCGTTATAAACCTGCGGGAGTTGTTATGCCAATGCTTTTTTGCCCGTCATAAACCATTGTTCCATTGTCATTCTTCCTGTTGATTCCAATTCAGTGTTGTTTTGAATTTCGGCTCACCACCATCTAACTTTTCTCAGTAAACACAACCTACGTACATCGTTGTTAAGTTTTGGAGTATTCCCTGTGTGACTGCATCGTGACAGGCAATGCGGATATTTCGACCACTGGAACCGGATCCGAAGTGGAGAGTTTCAGTGCTGCTCTTTCCAGAAACGTATAACCAGTGTGAACGCGAACTCATTGTACTGTGTATAAGCCAAAGTAGAAAGACGTTAGAATCTGTTGTTATTAAATTATATAACATCTGATACACTGTTGCCTCAACCCTATTTCCGTGTCTTTATTTACTGCTAGGAACCGGCTCGCAGAAGCGCTCCATACCTTGTCTGGTTCAGAGCAATGCGAGGCGCAGATTCCAGCGCGTGCTTCCGTCAGTGTGCACACGCGTGTGTTACCCAATTGGTCACGTCACTCTCACTGTGGTTGGTCCACCATGCCGCACATGTGATGAACACAAATCAACATCTCATCACTACCACCACTTTGTAACGCACGACGCAGGCAGTTGAACGAGTAAAGTTCGCCATCTCGGAGTGCCTGTCACGTGGCCGTTTGTGAGTGCCTCTTGCGCTCAGTTCCGAATGGAGGAGCAAAATTCGATGCGAGTTGTCACACAACTCAGTAGACGACTCAACACGGAGTCGGCTAGCGCGGCTACGGAGACGCTCACGTCCTTGTTGATACTCCCAACAGTTTCGGAGACTTCGGCGTACGTACAATCTGTACACACAAGCGATTTGCGTATCAGACGCAACTTGTAGACGGTTAGTAAAAGTTGCATCCTGCAATTTCGGCGAATGACACAGGACGCTGGTATACAATGATGCCCCGCTGTTGCCCTACACCAACTTCACTCTCGATCGAGACTCAGCGATTTAATTATAAACTTTCTGTTCTGCTCGGTTTTCACAAGTGAAATCCGAAGTCGCGTTAAAACTGGTAAGTGCCATTATTTTCCAAGTTTGAATGCTTCCCTTTTCATTACTTGGTGTAAGTACTTTTTGATACACAATGTTCGGCTGCGTTGAAGGCCTTCATTGATTTATACAGCATAGTGGTTACAAGAACATTTACTGGACTAATCCATCAGGTATTTGATTGGCTGACTTTAAATCACTTGACTCCACTGTCATTGTTCCACACTGTGTTCGCCAACGATGTCCACAATTTGTGTATCAGTTTGCCACCCCTGTTACGTTCAGAGAAAAGTTAGCTATTGCCATCTAGTTATAGCCATTAGTTGTCTTCTCACGTGAACCGGCGGTCAAACTGCTAGCTTTCCACAATGTCGAGTTCACTACATATGAGCTATCACCGGTGTGTCATTATTTGGGCACTTCAGATCCAACCATAACCATGAGGCATATTAATTTGTTACTTATATCACTCAAGTAACACGCTTCTTCACACCTACTCACTGTCTCTTCGCCAAACTGCTTAGCCAACTCCTATGCATTCGTTTTCATAGTTGGTCATGTAATCTGCCTAGTTTTGATAATCGGTGATGACCCTGGTCAAGAATTACCACTTGCGCAAGTAGATACCTGGAAAGGTTGTGGATGAGTGCAGCTGGCTTTTGAGTTGACTTGCCGCTCTTATCCTACCAGATAAGCCCATTGGGCCGTTTTGGTTTTAAATGTAACAAACCCACTCATTTCTTTCTCATGAGTGTATTGCCATAAAGGTCCTGCTAATCATATGTTCCGGATACTGAACTGTATCCAATGAACAATGATTTATGACTGGTAAAAATGTAAACACTTGGAAAGTCCCATAGGATGACCGGATTGAAGGTTCTAAATCAGTTAAAAATTACAGGAAACGAGGTGTTTCACCAAGCTATTCACATATACACTGATGCAGGTTTCCTCACGGAGAAGACTGGTGAGCACACAGTTAGGTTCTCGTTATTTCGTCTTCCAATGGAAATGGACTATGACACGTACTGTATATAGAATAACGTGTCTTCAAGACGTCTTTTGAAAAGTATAACTATAGGGTCAAAACTGACGTGAGTTGGAAGAGCTTTTTATATTGGGACGCCAGAGTGAGGGAAAAATTCGAAACAGATCGCGACAGGTGTGCTCTGGGTTCTTCAGTATTAGGCACCTCGCGGTCAGGTCTCCTCACATACGTCGATATTCACCGCCGTACAATCCAAAGTCTTGTAGTGTGTGTTAGTAGGGAAAGTGGCACGAGCTCTTAACCAGTTAGGTTGACATACGTTGCTGAGCTTCAAGCTCAGCAGCACTGTGCTTGCGCCAAAAGCGCCCGGTTTGGATTGCCTGTTCCACATAGAGCCTTAGGTGGACGTGCAACAGTTGCAGAATCTAGATGACTCGAAATTCCCGAACGCCGTCCGTAGGAGGCCAAGGTGCTATCCGGCACTTCTGGATAAATTTTCTTCCTGTTCCGAGCAGCCAAGGTCGTACTGCGCAATTACTCTGAGATCGCTTTTATGCACAGAATGTTGCAACTTGTCTTGGGTACGATGATGGCGTTAGTCCAAGAAAGTGCATTTCATTAACTTAAAATGCAGCCGGATTTCGGATGACCACGTATACGACCTGTCGAGAACTCTTTGCGGTCATGTCATATCTTGATATCGCATGTAAATCGTATGAAGTTCGACTGGAAAACAAGCGAGATAGTTGATAAATAATAGGAATAAACGTAGGCCCGGTGCCGATGTTTGGGGTACTTCACACTGGCTTTAGTGAAAAGGGCGTATTTCATTCCAATCGCACTGCGGGTGAACACACAGAGTCCACTTGACGTTGCAGGTGACGCATACATCAAAACTTGTGTGCGCACAACGATCCGAAGGGGCAAGACACTTAATACTTGACATCTTAACTACAAGAAATAGATTTGAGCTAAAGCAGATAGCCATTGATGCAAGGTTAAAAGTAATCATTGAGTTACCCAAATCGTCAGACATACTTGGTAATGAAAAACAACAATCTAGAAGCGGCCGATCGTCACATGACTAATGGCAAGGTCGAGCACGTCAGATGCATCTCGCACGCCCACAATCATATACTTATCAGTTGAGACTGTCAGAATGAAATCGCAGGTAGGATCTGTGATTGAAGTGTCGTACCAGAGTGAACGGGTGGTAGCTTAATCAGCCACGCTTTTGCGTTGACTTGAACTAAGAGATAAGGCTTGCTATTTGGTCTTCCTATCCATTTCAGTCTTTCGGTTGGCTCCAAGTAGTAAATTGCATAAAACCGATCGAGGAAAGGCGCTTTTAGCCTGTAATTGCATCACCGTGAAGTACGGTGATTCTAGTAAACATGAGTGAAGCCACTGAATAGCAGCTTGATACCAAAACCTTCATACAGTAACAACCTAAAGTTAACTTGCGCTGGACAGGATTCTAGCTGAGGACTTCAATTTGACTTAGTTAGCCTAAACTTATGGAAAAATGAAACCGAAAGTGAGAGTTGAAACCTGTCATCTATTAGTTCTGCATTCAACTTGTGTCGACTTCACAGATATTGACCCAACTTTGCTTGCTGAAACAACGCGGCTGTGCTTAAGTCACATTATATCAGTTCGATGCATTGTAGAATACCCAATGTACTAGGTTTCTGCCAACTTGCTCCGTGGGTACTTGCGACTATTGATTTGGAAAACCTTAGTCACAACATGGATAAGTCGGATAGTGATTAGCTCTCGTGACTTCGCCCGATGTGAAACCTTCCTGTTTATAGTCAGAGCAAACAGTTCTTTTTCGCTTATGTGTTGGGATCTCCACAAAACGGGAACTAGCGAAATATATTTGTCTAACATAACTTACCATCGAAGATGCTGAGGACTTTTAGTTACTGAGTGACACTGCTCGTAAGCCAACAGCCTGCATAAAACACTACCGCCAGAAATGTTGTGGGCTGACGGATGCATCGTTCATTCGCTTTATCTGTCCAGATCCAACAATAATGGGCTCCGTTGGTGATAGCTGTAGGCGATTAAACTGAATGGCAGCTGGGTTAATGCAAGCTCTTTCTTTACCAGCGACGTCCCACTCGGTAAGCGTTTACCACCGGTTTGGACAAGATGGTATTTCAACGGCGGGTCACTTCCGCATCTAGTCATTGGACATCATTGGTCTTGAATTGTAGTTGGGGCTTGTAGCAGCCAGTAACACCCCTAAGGCTAATTGCAGTATTCTTTCCGCTGCTAGTCTAGACTCCATCAGTGGTACAAGTTCCTAGCGGTTCGATTGCGTAATATCGCGTTCACTAAACACGAATGTGAAAATATGTAACTTGATGGCACAGAACTAACTCTACGTTTAAAGCAACTAGCTATTGGGTGTTGCCCGCCCTATTGTCACGTACACAATGACACTCGACTGCCCATGTCTGACTAAAAGTCTGTTACCAAAATATTCAGCACTATCCGTAAAGTGTGAGCTTCCGTTGCTGAATAACCTGCTGGGGCACATTACATTCAGTTGTTCACCAAACACTTCGTTTTTGGAACATTCAAACAGCCATTCCGCAAAAAGAAAGTTAACAGAAAAATAAAATGGTGAATCACTTTGGCGCGATTCGAGTTGTGCGAGAGTGCATTGGAGATTGACGGGTGACTTCACCGATTGCTTAGAGTAAATATTTTTACGATGGCAATCCTCACACCCCATGACTGTAAGACAGTTCGGCTTGATTGCTCATGCCATGTGGCCAAATCTACCACTTTATTGCGACTGTATACAATAGCCAGAAAGTCCTTAACGACATCAGTATGCCAAACCGTTGTTAATAGTGTGTCGCGTTTAGTTGATTGCAAGCATCCTTATTCAAACGCGGCCAGTCGTAACCAACCCTGTTTCTTGTCTATCATGTGTTATAGAGTCAGATTAGTACAAAACGTGCTCCGAACATAATTGTTGGGCATGTCAATTCGAATAGCGTAAAATTTCTACCTTATTTCCGTAGAATATGGACCATTACCAGGTGAAAGACCAGGATAAACATCATATAGCGATGTACTCATAGGTCACGACACATTGCCTAGGTAGATTTGTGCACACTTCTAGTTCTATGTGTAACAGAAATTCACCTGCCCACAGCCTATGCATAAGCCCATGGAAGCAAAATATAACCAACCCACGCTTCTATCTGTCAGACACGTTTAGGTTGCCCACATTGTCTATGAAATAGAAAGGGACGCCTGATTATTCATTACAGTAAGTGGAACGGTCTACCTGCTGTACAAGTTCCGGTGGCCGTTCGTGCCAGCTAAAGTAATCCAGCAGCACTGCATTCAAGGAGACAAGTAGTACGCTGCTTTGAAAGCAGTTATTAGACGTCTTACCCTTTCCGAGATTGTTATCATTACAAATCCCGTCACTGTCTTGATTCTGTGAGATGAAAGGCGGACATTTTTCCTAAGATAGTCTTACGGTCAATCGTCAGCTATTTTTCGACGAGTGGCTAGGCTCAGATACTGCGCTCATAAGTGAGAGCTCATTGAGCACGGACAACTGAGCTATGCGTCAAATTCGGAAGGTCCTCAAGCATGGCGTTTTGGCTCTAGCAAACTTCGCCTCAGTGATTGTTTCACCTTTTACGATCACTTCTCCGTTTTCAGGTATCCTGAGGAATAACGATGTTTGAGGTTATAGTAATCATTTGACTGCATGTGAGATATCATAAGTGAAGACATATGCGGTGGCAGTGTAAGCAGATGGTAATATCAGCCGTTGTTTGCTAAGCAACGGAGTTTCCTAAAATGACCACTTGTCTGCGGTCATCGAACCAAGTGGATTAAAGCGTGTGCCCTCCGCGTCTGTGCTCGGAGTTATTCGCAATCTAATTACCACACCATAAGCCACTTGAAATGCAAACCACGCATCCATCAAAGTTAGCTTTCGGGCTCCGTGGCGCGTTGTGAATCACGAGGTAATTATTGTGTGCACGTGTTCCGGT